GGAGAAAATGAGCTGAAATCTAAAATGTGCATTTTGGTTGCAGTTGCTTCTCTGCTACTCAGACTTTTCCTCAAAGTCATTTTTGTGGTATTTTTTACACTTTTGTTATTGGTCAATACTCAGTTTGGTTAAATATGATATCCTTCACATCGTTAATCATACCACATTTTAAACCCTCCACCTGTCACTGGGCAGACTGTTGGCTCTGCTTCTAACTCTCTATTTATATTGAAGTGATTCATTGCTGACACAGAGGCTTCCCCCTTTTGGGTGGAGGCCCATATCTTAAGATGGCGTGCATATAGCTAGAGTCTACATGCAGGGAATAAACGCCACCATACCCTACCACTAGCTCGCTCGCATTGAATTCTCCTGATTATATCCTGCTGCATTCTCACATCAGCTCACTCTGACTTTCTGCAGAATAAATACGAGAATGCTGGAGGAGAAACTCTGCACAAAGTCTGAGGTATAAATTCGGCTGTTAGCGTTTACATGCAGCCCACCCCGAATCAAATTTTTAGGAGTTTTGTGCAAGTGTGAAAGCAGCTATATCAGACGTACACCCACAGTATGTACATTCAGCCACCAGTGGGCTCTCAATCAAAACGATAACAAAAGATGACGTCCAGGCTGGCAGGGAATCATGGGAGATAACCTCTCTGCTACTCCCTTCCCCCACCCCCAATGAAAACAAACTCTGAGCTGACTGTAGTCATGACGACCGGGTGAATCCGACCTGAGGAAGAGAATATGTTTCACAACGAGCTAATGTATCAGAGTATAATTAACATGATGTTTTTATCACAGCAGCACATATAGCAACAGTTCGGCAGCTTTCAGTAGCAGGTCACGCTTCCTTATGCAGCGGTCTTTGATGTAATAGTTGTGTTTCCATGGCAACTAAAACATATAGGCCCTGTCGACAAGACACGTCCTGTTACAACTATAACATGAAGGATTTCTCTGGCTTTGAAAACTGTTGGAAACATTTGAGGTTAAGTGAGAACTCAACACACAGGAGTAGTCACCCCCCCTGCTGGTCATTTGAAAGAATGCAAGTTTGAGAAATGTCTGTCCCGATTTGGAAAACACAGTGCAACAATGAAATGTAGAAAAAATCATAGATAACCAGCAGAGTGGCCATCAGGTCACTCTGTGCTGGCTTCACTGCCTGCACAGAGTGTACGTATAAATAGCTGCTGTCCCCACAGGATTAAAAAAGAGAGGGAGAGAGCCACTGCCTCTCACCTGGACTTACATGAGGAACACACACACACACACACACACACACACACACACACACACACACTCTCCAACACACACACAGCTTTAGAGAGTTTATGAAGCAATGATGTGTTGAGTCAGGGATTTGAACTGCTCACGTCTGTGTGTAGAAATAATACTGGAGGGAGTTCATGATACTAACATGTGGAATGGCACGCTCAGGTGATCATGTTTCAAATATTTCAAATATGATAACACGTGTCTCATGAAAATAATCTCAGACTGATTAATAACTAAGAAAATAGTCATACATTTATAAACAAAAACAAAAACCTTGATTTAAAAGGTTTGAGGTTCACTTCCTTATCGTCTGACAAAGTGTCATTCAAATGGAGTTAAGTATAAATCATACAAATAGAAATATTTATATCTTTGCGGCTGTGGCCCAGTGGTAGAGTTTTTTGTCTCTCAACCGGAGGGTCAGGGGTTCGTTCCCCAGCTCCTGCAGCAACATGTCCAATGTGTCCTTTAGCATGACATTAAACCCCAAGTTGCTCACTCTGCTTTGTCTGCAGTGTGTGAATGTGTATGAATGGATGAGTTAATACTGATAGACTCTTTACTCAGCAGCCTCTACCATCAGTGTGTGAATGTGTAGGTGTGACCTGCAGTGTGAAAGAGTTTTGAGTAGTCAGAAGACTAGAAAAGAAATATACAAGCTCAAGTCCATTCACTATTTTCTGAGCTCCACAAATCTTTTTAGCGTCTATCAGGTTTTATGGGTTTTCCTAGCATGGTGTCTAACAGCAGCAGACGCCTGTTCTCTGAATATTTTTTTACTGTGTTCAGCGGGAAATATTAAAACAATTAAAGTTATGTGTAACTTTTATCAGGAAAAAAAGGTGTAAAAATGACTAAATAAGAAATATGGGTGCTGATGGCCTAGCTGTTAGGTTGCACCCCATGCACAGAGGCTACAGTCCTCCGAGCCGGCGACCATGGGTTCAAATCCGACATGTGGCTTCTTTACCACAGGCAGGAGTGCAGATATACAAGCGTTTTAGCGCCCCATTATTAGAGGCTGCAGTCCTCATCGCAGCAGCTGAGGGTTCGAATCTGACCTCGGCACTTTGCTGCATGTCATCTACCAGCCACTCTCTCCTCACAACATGTCCTGTCTCTCTTCAGCTGTCCTATCCAATACAGGCATCAAAAGCACCCCCCCTTAAAAAAATAAAACAACAACAAATGAATATAATGCTGATAGCAGACAAATCACTGAATAATGCATTCAAACAAGTGTACGGACTCGGAAGATCATGGCAGTGATTTTATATCTTCTGCAGGGACACCAGGGGGCGAAGTTGAGCTGAAGGACCTGATTATGTCCACTAATCCCTTCAGTCTGTGCATATTGGATGTTCACTGCAGCCTCTATAGACACCATGCATAGTGCAACTACAAAGTATAATGACCTTTTAGGTGAACAAAAAGAGAAGGTACGGACAAGTGCACGAATGTATTTGTCTTAAACTTATCGGGAGGAGTTTTACAGAAAACTCTGCAAAAGATGTGGAGTCTATTTGGAAGATCTTGGTGCTTTAGTTGGAAGTTTTTGACATGCTAATCCAGCTATATTCATGGAGTTATGAGGGGAAATAGCTGCCACCTGCTGAATGTGTACACCTGTTTTAACAAGGCATATATGCTGACCAGACACAGTACAGGCCTGCAGATTTAATCAGCTGTATTTACAAGAAGGTTCCCATATCTGATCCATATCCAGTAATAATCTGTCAATGTATTATCATCGGACATTACACGTGTCCATGTTGCTGTGTGTGCCTCTCAGCCAATCAGCAGCAGAGATTGTAGCGCTCCTCTGGATGCTCTGGATGCACGCCAGCTCATTAAGATCCACTTAGCGTTGACGTCACTAAGCTGCTTACCGCGGCCGCAGGTGAATGGAGGGAGAAACTGAGAAAGATCTGTTTACATTGAAGCTGGAATGAAAGAAAGTGCAGATAGCATCATGACGACGTAGAAAATAGAACCGAGCGAAGCAGACAGATTACTAGAAAAAAAAACCTGCCGGATTTATTTCTCAGTGTGAAGGTGAAGTCTGGAGTTTGTGAGTGATCCAGGAGGCCGGGATGGAGTGCAGCGGCAAGGTAACTGCATGCCGAGTGAGCCATACAGGACTGTCACGCACTTAGACGATCACGCTCAAAGCAATATTTTTCACTGCAGAGCACACAGAAGCACTCACTGTGGCACTTTTTTAAATCACATGCAACTTGTGTTTTATGGGAAGTTCTGTCAGCTCGACACAGGTTAACGCTTTAAAGTCACCAATTCTGCAGCGTCAGGAAACCGGCAACTGACATTTGATGACCTCTGCTAATTCACAAAGATGAAGCAAAAAGTAAAAATAAAATCACACATGATGTAGTTTTACACAAAAGAGGGATCTGTTTTAGTGTTTTAGTGTTTTGGTGCATGGCAATAAATATAAAACAATAGAATAAAAACAAAAGTCAAGTAACTTAAATTTAGTATTTCATAGAAAATCTTAAATATTCACTTTTAAGTGTTTGCAATACAAGTGAGGAATGTCTTTGGTGCTCTTTAAATGCATGTAGTCTTTGCAGGTGTCTTCTGTTTGCACTAAGGGACAATAGGGTTCATGAACATGATGCAGTGAAAGGGGGGGGGGGGATTGAGCCCCAGTATGTTGAAGGTTGCATAACAATGTTAGTCCACATTTGAAGATGTGCTTCAGTAAAGGAGTTTAATTTGAATGCAGCAGATGAACATGAGGGTTCGTTTGGGTTACTAATTGTTTGAGTGAGAGGTTCTCTGTCTTGTGTTTGCAAACATAAAAACCTCTGGAAAGTGTTTTTAAGTTTTCTGTGTGAGGATGTTTCCATCGAGCGGTCCTACCAGTAGTAGATTTGTGACAGACCATTTGTTTACTTTCTGAAGCTGAAATGCAGGAATGGATGGTTCCTGAATCCACATTGTTCATGATGTGACATCATATGATATATGATACTAAATGATACAACACGATACGATATAGGATGAGATAGGATACGATACGATCAAGCTCTAACCTCTGGTGTTTAAAAGTGAAGCCGATGCTGAAGTGCAAAAACCTTGCAGTTCCTCGAGTATCCACTAGAGGCTGGCTGCAGAAGCACAGGAAGTCACATACACACCCATTCTAAAAAGCCTGTTTTTACAGCAGAGATTAACATGTTTACAGCCTGGTTGAAAAAAACAAATAGGTGTGATTAGCTCATGTCTCGATCGACACACACTGTACGGGGGGGTGAATGTTTTGATGACTCATCAGTTTTGATTTGATGAAGGATAAGAGTTATTCACAATAAGGCGTGTAGCTGACCTGATTGACAGGTGGGCGCCATCTAACGGTTTGTCAGGAGGTTTAAAACCCGCCTCAGCTCCAGCTCTCAGCCTGTCGTTAGGTTGACTGAAAGTTAGACTGAGACAGCATTTCCAGCATGGAGATCACCATCGATGGGACTCCAGCGCCCCCTGCAGGAACAGACGGGCGACATCACTCGGGCATCAAACATTAATATTTACAGTCTATGGATATGATACGCACGCTGCTTTGTCCCCTTGGAGTAATTCTTCCTGGACTCCATTGCTGATTTGTTTTCATTAAGATCTGTTGTGTGATGTAATGCAGATATGTGATTTCCTGCTGAACATAATCTGTGTTTCTCTTCCATAACCCCCAGGTGACACCCCAGCTGATGATGGCTGTGGGGACGGCTGTGATTGGCTCTCTACAGTTTGGCTACAACACAGGTGTCATCAATGCTCCTCAGATCGTGAGTAATTTGTTGTGAGAGAGACTCTAAACTCTATGACTTCACCCTGAATCCATTCCCTTTCGAAGAAGTTATTCAGACCTTCTTGTTTGAGAGGATCAGTCCCAAACTTCACATTTCATACACGATTGCTCCCTCCACCCCCTCCCCCACTGGAATGCATTTACATTGGTATCATCGTTCTGTGCCTGATTACACTTGTCCGATACAACAGGTGGCAGTATGCACATAGTTGGTTTGCAAATCTGCAAAAAAGCAGAAACAACCATGGAAACCACTCGCAGGCTGTTATTTCTGAGACGCCAACATCGACCCTCTTCCTACTTCCACATGTACCTTGCAGCTCAGAGTTTGAAACGAGCCAGTGCTGCACAGACATGACAGTTTTTGAGGCTACAGGAGCCGTTTAGAGTTACGTCATATACGGTTGTGTTTACATCTCCTGCAGACTGTACTCGAGTACACATAAATCGTACCTGAGTATGGTACGAGTACGGTACGTTTGTGATCAATATATTTTATATTTTACATTTTTAAATTCTATTTTATAATATTGTAATAGCTTCTTATACTGTATTATTTAAGTTGTTGCTAGTTCTGCTTTATTTCCTTGTTAATTGTTTAGCACCAATACACCAAGTCAAATTCCTTGTATGTGTAAATGTACTTGGCAATAAACCCCGATTCTGATTCTGATTCTGATCAAATGAACCGGAATTTTAGGTCAAGGGCACTCGGATCAGAGCCGGAGTCACACAGCCTATATCTGGCAAACCAACCAAACAGGTCCATTGGCTATCAAGCGTTGTAGTAACTCTAAGCGACAAAAAGCTCAAGTTTAATGCCCAAATTGTAAAACTATTTCAATTCTACCTTTATTAAAAAAACAATCATCTTTGACTTTATCACTTTGGTAATAAATTGAATCATCTGCAAAGAAAGTAGCTCAATGTATTTTTCACCCAAAACATGCAGTGCAGTTTGGGGTCATTTTCAGCTTCAAGTCTACAGTGTCTTCAGGATTTCTAACTTCCTGCATTCAGCCCCAAAAACCTCCAACAAGAAGAGGAGGTACAGCAGCTCAAAGGATATTGCCTGAGAGGTTAAATCCAGGATGAAAAACCCCTAATACAAAGCTTATCTCCAGAGAGCGCACAATTATAACTCAATCTGACAGAGCATTTGAATGTGTCGATCAATTAGAGCTCCTCTCATCTGGATCGTGCTGGATGAAGAGTTAGGGGACTTTGTGTGAGTGTGAATGAATTGAACTCAACTGTTAATTTTGGGAGGAAAATCGATGTTGTTCTCCACCAGTGAGACGGAGGAGGAGAGTTTGTGTTCTGGGATGCCAACAACTTTGCGTGACACCGGCTTGTGTTTCGGATGTTAATCTCAGCCTTTAAGGCCACTGGGAAGCCTCTGAGCCTGTCAACTGCATCTGACGGTGGTCTGACAGAAACTTGAAATGACACGGAGTGGGTTAATGAGATAACGCAACAGTTTGTAGGACGCATTAAGGATAAAGGAGCTCAAGGTTATCAGAGCAGTTAAGCATATTGTGCATGCTGCGATCGACCACTGCAAACAACAGCTGTTCCAAACTGTGTATAAATATAATGATCAGGCAGAGATAAGGTCGCTAAGCACACTTTAAACAAGCAGGCAAAGGTAATGTGGAGTTCTTTACTTAGACAAAGTAACACAACATTTTTAATCAGCAATTTTAAATCAGCTTTTTCTCCATTCGAGCAGCAAATTAGTGCAAAGCTGTTTTGGAAAAAGCCAATCAGCGTTGGTTTTCACCTTACAAGCTGACTTTGTTGACTCTCTAACTCTATTCAAAATACTTTTTAGAAATTGTTTGCTTGTCTCCAATTTTTCGAAGGATTTTAAAAAGACTTTTGCAGTTTTGCCTGATTTTGTTGTCATGTATGCAATGTGGCGTTCCCCATATCTTAAAGCGTTTCAGCTGGTTTATTTTTTCCAAATAAGTATTTTTTTACATGCTTCAAAATTTGGAGTAACTTTAAAAAAACTACATTTGGGAATGTTGAAGAAACTTTAATCAAAATATTATTACACAAATATTCAACCTCTTTGTTCTACATAAACACGCCAAACTTTACCATATGATAAATTGGAAGACTTTGTTGCACATTAGAGAAATTGCTAACTGGCCATCTAACTTGCACCTGGTGCTGATGAGGATGGTCCTATGAGAATTAATAACAAAGAAGTCTGTAGATGTTGAACATTATTCTTTTTGAGCAAAGTGGTGGACAGATTGGTCAGCTGTCATTGTAAGATGTAGAGTCTTGCTCTCACACACATTGAGGGTATTGTGTTTTATTCTGTGTTTTAGATCATTGAGAACTTCTACAATGAGACGTGGCACAGCAGGTTTTCAGAGGACATCTCTCAGACCACTTTAACAGCTCTGTGGTCGCTCTCGGTGGCCATCTTCTCTGTGGGAGGAATGCTCGGCTCCTTCTCTGTTGGACTCTTTGTCAACCGCTTCGGCAGGTATGAGTCTTCATATCACTAACATTTTCAACCACGCCTTCTCCTAAAAAAAAAACAACCAATGATGTTTTTATTATCTCTAAAGGAAGAACTCCATGCTCATGGCCAACGTCCTTGCCTTTATTGCTGCTGCATTTATGGGGTTCTCCAAACTGGCCTGTTCCTTTGAGATGCTCATCATTGGACGTTTCATCATTGGCCTGTACTCCGGCCTGTCCACTGGATTTGTGCCCCTCTACGTTGAGGAAATCTCACCCACATCTCTGCGTGGAGCATTAGGCACTCTACATCAGCTTGGTGTTGTGATCGGCATTCTCCTGGCGCAGGTGAGTTCAAGATCTCTTGAAACTTGATTAACCTCTTTACTTTCAAACGCCAGTTGCTTTAGAAAAAAAAAAGATCCATATATTGTGATGTAAAATGACAATGAAGCCTTTCTTTAGTATTCTGTTCTGGTGTCACATTTAATAGCTTAATGGACTTTGGATGGTGATGCTACCATAGAAAGTTCCTCGCCAACATCTCCAAGTGGGGACATATTGGTTTAACCAAGCGGCTACGCCCGGCCTGGTTTGTAAAACAGTTTTGGTCTCATTACCACCTTTCTTTATTCCTGCAAACTTGACTGGTGATTACCAATTACCCTGTCCTTTTCCTACAAATTGTAGTGGTGGACCAAGGGTAGTTATCAACCAACCAATTCCCCCCTCAAAGCCCAATCAAAAAAATGCAGTTACCCAAGCATCCCAAAGATTTGTCTCTGATTCAGCCAGCTTGAGATAGCAAGAAAATGGACCCTTATCATAAATGCTGCAGAAAAGGCCACCAATAATGAGGCCACTATGAGTTTTTTTCTGTCAGAAGTGAGAGTAATTACACCTCATTAAAAGCAGAAATGAATGTACCAATGTTTTCTTGCAGGACTTCCAAAGTTGCCTAAATAGCTCTCATCCAGGGAGAGAAAATTCATCGTTACCTCATTTTGGTTGCATTTGGTGCAGCTGGCTAAAGCGCGACAATGGCTACACCAAATGCAACAACCAGTTGGCCCACTTTGAGTTTTTCTTGTAACAAAAATAAAAGAAATGAAAGCTACTGTTTTAGACATTGAAAGGTTGGTACACAGTTCATGTATCGATGAGTGTTATGGTCAAGTCAGTGCACTGAAGAGCACTGCAGACACATCCAACAATTAATTAACGCTATCCATTAAGATGCACTGAACCTACAAGAACACATTGTTGATTTTGATGATAGTTTTTTTGTGTGAATAGAATTGGACTGTTTCAATCCTGGATGTACCTGAGTTGGCAGCAAGCAAACAAACAAATCTGAATTAGTTTCTGCAGCATGAGATTGCACCTTCACTGCAATGGCAATTACCGTTTAGGCTGAAGATACAGCAAACCAATGGATTACCTACCAATCTGCCAAGATGGGACCAGAGACTTTGGGATTGGCCAATGTTCATTTTGGTCCACAGTGTTTGCCACCAGACAATGGCGAAACTCCAGGGAGGGGGATAAATCCTGTTGCAGATCAGAAGAGCAAAGATCATCCTGTGTTACTTCAAATAAGTCTTGGATCTAAAGGTCTCCTGCTGACAGTTGGAAACATTTGAGAAGCTTTTTTTAAAATCAGGAAGCAGATAACCGAGGAGATGGAGCTCAAGTGCAACTTCTGATAGGCGTCTGTTTTCTGTTATTTCTTTATTTTGAGTGTGCCATTTTTGATAAGCTGCCACCAGACAGGGTTGACAAAGACCAACGACTGTTAAATCCCTAACATGTAAGGTAACCATCGGGTAGAATTTAGGGTGACGGATTAACACTGGGTAAAGTTTCAGGGATCATTTCAGGTTTTCCAATTTAGCGAGTCAATGATTTGATTGGTATTCTACAAAGATATTCTCTTAATATATCTAGATCCACTGATCACTGCAAAGGAAACTAAGGCAGAGACATAATAAGAAGCAGATTTTATTATTCCGAGACACAAACTGTGGATTTAAGAAGGTCGTGCGGAAGGCCAAGGCTATATCCAATTGTCCTGATCTCTCCCTGCTGAGTGAGTTTGAGCTCCTACTGTCAGGTCACAGAAGCAGAACTACTGCTCAGAGGACAAAAAGACACAAAGCCTCTTTTATACGCTCAAAAATCTATGCCGTGCATTTGCATATGATCTATCCAACAAGGCACCTTGCTTATACATGATGCACTTCATGTAGTCTTCATTGGAAGTGGTCTTGCATTGGTGGTGTTTTCTTCCTGCAGACTGTCCAGACTTTTGCTTAGTGCAATCACGTTGTTTTTATTTATGTTTTTTATGCATAGTTTGCAGTAACTACATTTTGTGAATAGTAAAAAGTGTGACTTGATTGGTGTGGACACAACTGGTCCGTCTCTAAGGATTACACCTTCTGTCCACAACAGTGCTGTACTTAAAGTGAGTGCGTAAAAGCGTCCGATGTCAACAACTTAATTTCAGTAAAGCCTTAGTCTGATAATTGGTCGTAATTAGATTATTGTGTGCTTGTAAAGCTTTCAACTTTGCAACAACACTTGTCAAACATTATTTTTTGTTTAAAGACCATTGTAAAAGTCATTCTTTGTCACCTCTTTACGGCCATTACCAAGTTTCTGGTTTTTGATTTTGACTTTAGGGTAAGCACCAATTGAAGCAAGATTAAACAGGCTTGTCCAGAACCTTGTTTCTTATCTGCATGGACCTAAATAAAGATGTTAAAGGGACCGACTTCTCCCATTGTAATGTTCGTGTTGTACAACATGTTGTGTGTGTTTGTTCATGTAGGTCCTTGGGATTGAAGGGGTCATGGGTAACTCCACCTTGTGGCCCGTTCTGTTGAGCATCACTTTGCTGCCGGCCGTGCTGCAGTGCATCCTGCTTCCCCTCTGCCCCGAGAGCCCCAGATACCTCCTCATCAACTGCAACGAGGAGAGCAAAGCCCGCAGCAGTGAGATACTCATACACACATTTAGCACACATTTCACAAAACAACTTCATACATCATCTCTCTTTTCACATACTTCAACCCCACCTTGCACCCTCAGCTTTACTGTACAAGTAAATCCTGTTTCATTCTGATGTCGACGTAACTTGTACTTGTGTGTCTTGCAGTCCTGGTGAAGCTGCGGGGGACCGATGAGGTGAGTGAGGACATGCATGAGATGAAGGAGGAGAGCCAGCAGATGATGAGGGAGAAAAAGGTGACCATCCTCGAGTTGTTCCGTTCCCCATCGTACCGCCAGCCCATCTTTGTCGCCATCATGTTGCAGCTCTCCCAGCAGCTGTCTGGTATCAACGCTGTAAGTCAAAGGACCAAAAAGTCCTTCTTACAAACTTGCTAACAATCGGCGAGTCGAGGCATGTTCTTATGTAGTCTGAAAACACAGAGCCCATGAACACACTTCCACAATCTCTCGTTGTTATGTCATCCCCCTCAGGTGTTTTACTATTCGACTGGGATCTTCCATCGAGCAGGTGTGTCCCAGCCGGTCTATGCAACCATCGGCGCAGGATTGGTGAACGTGGCCTTCACTGTGGTTTCTGTAAGTCTATAACTAACCTTTATGAATAACAGATGGTTAACTCCAGGATGTGGGAAACAGTTCATTTTGTAACAAGTCACAATCTGCTCTGTGCAGTTGTTTGTGGTGGAGCGAATGGGCAGGAGACCTCTTCACCTCATCGGTTTGATGGGAATGGCGATCTCTGCAGTTTTTCTAACCGTTGCTATGGCGCTGTTGGTAAGTATCTGAGATCACCCGTTATTGCACGGCTCCCAAGACTGAAGTGACTGAACATGTTTGCTTTGTTGTGCTCATCAGGACCACTTCAGCTGGATGTCCTACATCAGCATCGTGGCCATCTTTAGCTTTGTAGCCTTCTTTGAAATCGGCCCCGGGCCAATCCCGTGGTTCATCGTGGCCGAGCTCTTCAGCCAGGGTCCACGGCCTGCGGCCATTGCAGTTGCCGGTTTCTCCAACTGGTCTGCCAACTTCATGGTGGGAATGGGCTTCCAGTATGTTGAGGTGAGACAGCCTTGATCCAAAACTATATTGCTGTTAATCTTGAGTTTATCTCCAGTGCAGAAATGCCACTTACCATAACTACTTGGTACCCCTTTAAAGGCTTTATATGCGATTTTTTGATCCAGCAGGTGTCGCCCTTGAGCACCAGCATGAAACCAAAACAACTTGCACTGCATTGTTGTGTTAGCATGCTAATGCTAGCAATCTTTATTATGCTTGTATCGTCACACTGCATGTAAATTTACCTGAAATGAGCGTGATCTAGAAACACAGTTAAGCAGGGAGTACAGTATGTTATTCTTCTTTTCTCTAGTCCCTCAATTAAACAACTTTTATACGTGAGGGGAGGAGTCAGCCGGCCGCCATACCGGCAATGTAAACAAACTGAAGATAGGACTCGGAAAACTCTGAAAGCATCACAGACAGTGGGACTCGGGTGTTACACCCATTGTAGACAGTCATTACTCACAGAGTTATTTTCAGAGGATATACACATAAATCACATATAAAGTCTTTAATGAATGCTCCTGGTTTGGAGACTAAATTTCAATTCTAATGTTGCATTGCTCCAAGTTGTATACTCATAGGGAAACTGACAAAATGTTAACACTTAATGGCTTTGTGTCAATCAGCAACTGAACAGGCCATGGTTATTGCAAATCCAGAGGCACAGGTCCCTTCAGATTATCAATACTGTTGGCTTTTTTTTTGCTAATCAATCGTTGATGTGCCGACATAATACAGATTTCTCTGATTATTTGCAACCGTTAACAAAGCAGTACAACATCATAACAGAATTTCAGCTTCCCTCCCTGAGCGTTACCTCCAAGGTACATTGCTGCCTTGTGAATATGATGCACCACTTTTTTTTTCCCTTCACATTTCATCCCTGTAGCTGCTCTGTGGCCCGTACGTCTTCATCATCTTCACAGTCCTGCTTCTCGGCTTCTTCGTCTTCACCTACTTCAAGGTGCCCGAGACGAAGGGCCGAACCTTTGACGAGATCTCAGCCGGTTTCCGTCAGTCGGCGGGTCACGGTGCTGACAAATACTCTGCTCCTGAAGAGTTTAACACCCTGCGGGGGGAGGACCCCGACCTCTGAAAACCTGTCTCTGAAAACACACTCTTGTGCAGTGAAGCTACGTTTCACGCCTGGGGTAAACTTTTAGAGCATTACTGTCATGTTTCACATGTGTGTACGCCAATATTAGAGTGTTACATACAAGCTTTAGACTTCACATGGACTGTAAAAAAAAAGATGGATGACCTGACTGAGGTTATCGGTGTTAGTAAATATGGGATCAGTCTGTAGTCTAGGAATTATGATCTCTGCCTCTACCATGGCAGCAAGAATGGTACCCATAGCTTTTTTAAGTTGTCAAGCATGAAAGAACCAGGGATCGATCTGCAGAAATGTTTATATAATCATGTTTTTATTTGTGTTTTATCCCATAAATTAAGAGTTGTTGTGTTTTTATTACCTTGCACTGATGTATTTAGCGTCTTTTAGGGAGTCAGCAAAGTTGCAGCGCCATCTTTCAGCAACAGCCTTTTGTTGCATTTAAGGGCAAAAAAAAGTTTCTACATGGTGGGAAAGGATTGGAGAATGGGTATGTTGGGGGGGAGTCAGGGCTTTAGTTGGTTGCAATTTGCAACCCCCACCACTAGATGTCACTAAATCTCACACACTGCTCCTGAAAGTGAGTTTGTCATCTGAGAGTGAGTTCGTGGTGGGTTTTCGACTGTAAATATTTTTCATTATTTCATTTAGTCATTGAAGCTTCTATACAGAAGTTGAAGCATGAGTTGAGACAACTTATATTTCAAAACAGGAGTTGATGGAAAAACGATTTGCACTACATTTGGATGTAAAGTTGACTTCTAACTTCTTATTAAGATGAGACGTTAAGACGTGAAGGGCGACTTGATTCAGAGTCAAACTTGTCATGTATTGATTTTTTAGATAAGTGTATTCTTCACTAACACTAAGACCACGCCAAGAACGGTATTGATTTGAAAAAAAATATTTTAATATGGATGGCAGAGATAGAAATGATGAGTGAGGTTTGATGATGGGAAGATTATGAGGGGTGGATGGATGAAGGGGATGAGGGTAGGGTAAGGGTCCAGGGATGTGGGATGAAATGAGGATTAGGCTTGAGAGATGTGGGGTCAAGGGATGATGAAGGGATGAGGGTAACAATGGAGGGATAAGGGATGAACGGATGAGGTAAGTGTCTTGGGATGTGCAATAGAGGGATGAAGGTCAGGGTTGAGGGATGAATGGAGGGGGGTAAGGGTCAAGCGTTTTGGGATAAAGGTCGAGGGATGTGGGATAGGGGGTAAGGGTCAAGCATTTTGGGATAAAGGTCGAGGGATGTGGGATAGGGGGTAAGGGTCAAGGGTTTTGGGATAAAGGTCGAGGGATGTGGGATAGGGGGTAAGGGTCAAGGGTTTTGGGATAAAGGTCGAGGGATGTGGGATATGGGGATGATTGTAAGAGAGAGAAGAATTTAGGGTTGAGGCTCAACAGCTGTAGGAGAATAATGGACTGGTGTCAGCTGACTGGTATGACATAGGAGTCCTAGACTCTGGGTGGGGGTATTATCTGCTTCTCCCCTACACTCTTTTTGAAGGTGATAATTACTTAAATTAAACCTCAACATACCACCGACTGTTTTTCTTTTTGACCATTCTAACTCATGCATATTTTTTAAAAGGAACAATATTTTATACAAAAACAAAAAAAATACTGTAAGGCTGAACTTTGTGTATATTCTGATTTTTCTGCGAGAGTTTGCAGCTGCACTGAAACCGATCGTTTTAATTTCTCGTCCATAAGAAGATTTATCGAGCTGCTAAAGTTTACAGGATAAATGAACTGTGGTTTCATGTGTTTGTTACCAAAATCCTTGTGTCCTAAAGTTAAACTGTACAGTGTCTGGTTTTAGGAAATAAAATATGATTAAAAAAAATAATTGGTAATTGCATTCCCTCCCCCTCCTCCCTGGCTGATGTCATGATTGACCTTTGTATAGTTTGTTTATTCAGGATTCTGTTGCCTAGTTGTGATGATTGTTTTATTTTGTAACTTGTATCCTTGTGTTTCTGTTTCCTTTGTGTATTTCCTGAGTTGAGTTTAAAGTATTTCCTGTTTTATTTTGAAGTTCTTGCCCGTGTGTATCATGCGTGCGTGCCCCATTGTGGTTTCCCGCCCTTTTTGATTGCCCTCACCTGTGTGTTATTAGTCTCACCTGTGTCTGATTACCTAGCTGTCTATTTGGTCTCTGTGTTTCTTCCCTTTGGTGTCACTTCACAAATCTCAGACAAACTGTTTGAAACGGCTGCAAGCGTACATGAACTGTTTAAACATTGGCAGTGAATGTGCAGCTAAAAAGGCACGCCTTGCAATACTGCAGAATGGCCACTAGAGGGAGCACACGTCTCAGATCAGGCATTAAAACAGCCTCAATCTTGGGCACATAGGTACAGTTTAATAAAGCTTTCAGCTCTTTAATCTACATGAAAACGAACACGTGCTTCAGAAAACTATCCCTTAGATAAGTTTTAGTTTCTGCATCTCACAGCTGTTTGCTGCTGGTGTTTTTTTTTTTTTTTTACCAGCCTACGCTTGTGTGACAGAGGAGCAGTCAAGGTGAGGGGACAGCGATACCAAACACAACCACCTCTTCGGTAGAGCGTCTAGTGATGGTGCTACTGGTGGAGGGGTAAATCATCTTTTCTTAAGTCCATGCCATATCTCAAAGTGGTCCAATTTGATTATTTCAAACAAAGTTGCACAGATCTTTAAAACTTGATCCTCTGCAGTGTTGGTGGGCCAGTGGTTAGTGCGCGAGTCCCATGTGCAGCGGCTATAGTCTTCCAAGCGGGCAGCCCGGGTTCAAATCCGACTTGTGAATGTCATTCCCCACTCTCTCTTTCTCCCAGATTTTTGAATCTGTCCTATCAACCGTCCTATCTCTCAAAACAGGCATAAAAGGCCCAAAGTAAACCTTTTCACAGAATGGCTCAACAACATTTTTATTCCTTTTTTTGCCTTAAATGTAAATGAGCGGTGTCTGACCACGCCCCCTCTCTGGAAGGGCTTGGGTGTACTCTGTCTTTCTCGCTCCATGTCCTATTGTTTACGGTGAGAAGGCAGACTCAGAGGGCAGAACAAACACCTAGCTGTAGGAGTGTCACCCACCTGGGGGAGGGGCTACTGCCCTTTGTGATGTCATGAAGGGAAAATCTCCAAACGGCCTGTTTGAGCACACATTTTCTGAAAAGTGGAGCAGGCAGAAGATGGAGAGGATGGTCTTTTCTCATCATTGGGGGGGTTTGTAGATTGAGTGGAGACACATATTAGTGCTAGAGGAACATGGTGAAGTGTATTTAGCAGAATATGGAACCTCTAAATCAATGTATGCACATTCAGTTAGTACTGTTAGCATTAGCCTCCTTGCTAACATTCGCTCCCATCAGCCTTTGGAGCTGATTGAAAAAAGTTTGTTTACAAGTTCTTGTTGGCATTTCAGTCCGTGCGATCCTGTTCGGAGTTCAACCAACCTGAAGCAACTTTTATGGCACTGCTGAACTTTCACCTAAATGTCAAGTCAAGTCGCTTTAATTCAAAACAACAGGAGCTTTACTGCAGACGCAATAATAAAAGAAGAATGCATATGAATGATAGATAATGACCGCGTGTTTGACATGAAGAATAATTCTGTTTTCTCTTTCTGACTACAAACTGAACCACAGTTTGTCTGGTCGCCGACCTTGAATGTAGGAGCTTGTGTTCGGCGTGAGTCACAGGGCTGGAGGCTCTGCCAATATCTGCGTGCAGAAAATAGTTTGGCTGATGAAATGTTGCAGGAGCGAGAGCAACGCCGAGAGAGTGGCATCATGTTGCTCCGTACACAATGAGCCTATGCTGTAATGAACTTGGAAAACATGTAGGAGCGTATTTTAGAGATAGAAAGGCAGCCACAATGTTTCTGACTGTAGTTTTCAGTTATATGTCTCAATAACTCCACACATTTTCATGTTCCCCTGAATTCAACTTTCACCCTTATTCCCATCTATGAGATAAAGGTGAAAGTTTTCTCGGGGCCCGGTCACATGGGGAGAGTCCTTGGAGGTTAGTGTAAAAAATAAAAACATGGTCAGTCTTAATATTAAGCAACAATGACCACGTTTCAGAGTACACAGAAAAACACACCTTTACCTTTTAACTGTAGCCTGTTTCAAAATGTAAAACCCCCTCTTCTTAAAATGACATGAGCCTCTTTTGTTGTTGTTGTAACGTTACCGACGTGATCTAGCCCAGTGAAACTGAACTGCGATGCCAGGTATGTCGAAATGAGTAAAGCCATTCCAGGACGTGCACAGAGTGAGGATGCCAGAAAAGAAAGAAGAAAAGGAGGGAGCTGGCTTGGGTGTTTGACCCAAACAAGAGCTTGTAAACAAACTTTTTTCAATCAGCTCCAAAGGCTGATGGGAGCGAATGTTAGCAAGGAGGCTAATGCTAACAGTACTGACTGAATGTGCATACATTGATTTAGAGGTTCCATATTCTGCTAAACACACTTCACCATGTTTCTCTAACACTAATGTGTCTCTAGTCTGTTTACAAACCCCCCAATGATGAGAAAAGTCCATCCTCTCCGTCTTTTGCCTGCTCCACTTTTCAGAAAATGTGTGCTCAAACAGGCCGTTTGAAGAGTTTCCCTTAATGACATCACAAAGGGCAGTAACCCCTCCCCAGGTGTGTGACATTCCCACAGCTAGGTGTTTGTTCTGCCCTCTGAGTCTGCCTTCTCACCGTAAACAATAGGACATGGAGCGAGAAAGCACCGAGACACCAAGCCCTTCCAGAGAGGGGGCGTGGTCAGACACAGCTCATTTACATATTGAAAGGTACAGACACAGAAACAGCCTGTTCTGAGCAGGGCTGAAATAGAGGGGTTTATAGACATGATCAAATACAGGATCAGAGTGGATTTAGAACAAGAAACTTCACACAGAAGGAGCTCTGAGACTTATTTAAACTGAAGAGGAGGAGGATATGTCACCTTTAACATCTGAATCTGGGAGAGCCTGTTCACTGGGTCTTTCAGGGGCCCGGACATTTCAGCGGGTGCACCCGGATGAATCTAAATAACGTTTGAAATAATCTGACTTTATAGGGTGCTGGTTGCGCAGTTGTTAGTGCAGAGGCTGTAGTCCTCCAAGCGGGCAACCCAGGTTCAAATCCAGCCTGTGGCTCTTTTCCCACGTCATTCCCCACTTTCTCTCTCCTATCTCCCGAATAAAGGCACAAAAAGCAAAAGAATAAATCTTAAAAATAAAAAAGAAATACTCTGACTTTTTGTTCTAGTGCCAACATCTGGTCAATGGTTTGATTTGTGACCAAATACCTGCAAAACTAATGACACTCCTTCAGGCTTTAGGTAAAAAAAAAAAAACGACTCTACCACTGACCCACAGCCACAAAAACTGAAGAATAAAAGATGCTCGACTCAGTTTGTTTTTGTGGAAAAGTCCCGTAAAAACTATTTCTTTAATGAGCAGAGAAAACAAATAAATATGATGCACATTAAAGCATGTTAAGGCAGCAGATTGTAACTTTCTTTATGTGGTTCATCAAATCATCATCATCGTCAGCGCGCACTACTAAAAAAAAAAAAATCTTCTTTAGTAGGTTTCCGCCTCAAGACAGCACACATTCTTTAAAGGATTTTCTTTCATGAAAATAAAAACTAAATGAAAATAAAAACTTTGAATATATTCATTTTGTGGTGTTTTTTTCTTTTGTCTTTGTTGATTTATCCGTTATGATATTCTTAACACAGCTCAACAGCCGGGGTCAAGAATCAGGGAGGAGTGCTACAGGATGTCAACCGGATTTTTGTTCCAGTGAGACAGTGCAGTTCATCTTCCATTCACTCACAAACATTTATAAAAAAAGTCTTTAAAAATACTGTTATCTCTGTTGAAAGTTAGCAGCTTTCTGTAGACAATGCATAGACACTTCTTCAGTGTGGTTATAAAAAGTTCGTTATTCGGAGACGGCTCCGTCGCTCGGCGGCTCTGGAGGGGCGTCGAGCAGCTCGAACATGTCGTCGATGACCTGCCACAGACAGTTCTCCAGGGGGAAGTCATTGTCCACCAGGTTGACCAGGAAGTAGTTATCGTGGATGTACTTGATGATCATCCGGGAAGGTGACTCGTCCTCGTAGAGTTTGGCCCACTGCTCGATCCACAGGGCGAACGCCTCGTCCTGAACAACAGAAAGGGG